ACATCCTTCACTAGAGTTTTTAGAAATGTGAAGTAGTATATCAATAATGATAACAGTATTTTCTCTTATTGGATTTTTAGGATTTTTTTTTTTGAAATTTACAATTATACCCCAATCAAACATTTCATTTTCATTTTTTACCTACAATTGCCAATATAATTAAAAAAAATAATTTCTAATATAAATGTTATACGTAAATATTTACTTTTACTAATCTTCCAGGTTGTAAAAATGGAAGTAAATATTCTGGTTTTGTTAAAAAACATCTAAATTCAGTGCTAAGATGTTCAAGTTGCTCACGTATATCATGATAGGAAGATATGTGATTATACTTATCAATAGTTACTGCATTATATGCACCTTGCAAATCCTTTACTTCTATAATAATATGTGTAAAATATAAATATATATATATGAATGTATAAAGATATTTTTACATAAAAATGTAAAAATATTTTATTTTGATTTATAAAATATATAAAAAGTATTTTATTTTGATTTAAAATCTAATAAATAAATAGATTTACTTACTATTGTATAGATCTGGAATAGAGGCTTGATTTTGAAATTGATAAAAACTTCTCTCAAGCATATATTCAGGATTAATTTCTTCAACTCTCAAAAGATTTAAAACCATATTATAAGTTAAATGAAAGGCTGAATTAATAGGATCTGGTTTTCCTTGTACAATTGCTTTACCAACAACTGGACTAACTTGTTCATCTATCATTAATATTACTATTCCCTTTTCATCTAAACCTCTTCTACCTGCTCGACCAGACATTTGTATATATTCTCCAGATGTAATCCAACGGAAGTCTTTACCATCAAATTTTCGTGATGCTGTAAATAAAACTGTTCGTGCTGGCATATTTAATCCCATAGCAAAAGTTTCTGTTGCAAATAATGCTTTTATTAATCCTTCACCAAATAATATTTCTACAGTTTCTTTCAGAATAGGTAAAAGTCCACCATGATGAATACCTATTCCTCGTCTTAAAAGTGGTAATACATTTTCAACTTGTGGTAAACGTCGATCTTCTTCATTAAGAACATCCATAGCATTATTAAATACTTCATCTACCAACTTTTTTTCTTCTAATGTATTCAAATCTAATTTAGCCATTTGCATGGCATATATCTCACAATCTTTTTTGGAAAAGCTAAATATAATTACAGGTGCAAAATTTCTTTCCATAATCATTTTAACCATTTTAAAGATATTTGTTTGTCCAGCATTTGATGGACGAATACCACCTTTACGACCTTTACTATCCCCTTTAGCTGCATCACTATGTTGCAAACAAGCCATTGCTCTGTTAAAATTCTCTTCTTTAAATTGTCCCATTTCATCCACAACCTACATATAAATATAAATATATATTATTTAAATGAAATTTTCATTTTATAACAAATAATTTATTTATTATAGTTTTTACGAACCAAATGAATACCATCTCCACCAACAGGAAATATATAATGTTGTAAAGGAGTTGGTCTGTAATCTGTATAAACAACATGACATGGTTGCTTATGTAAATGTGCAACCCATTCTACAAATTGTCTAGCATTAGGTATAGTAGCAGAAAGAAATACATAGTGCACATTGTCTGGTAATAATATTAATGTTTCTTCCCATACAACTCCCCTTTCTTTATCACGCATATAATGAATTTCATCAAAAATTACCCATCCAACTTCACGCATTACCTTAAATGTTACATATATTATTTAAATTACTATCATTTACATACAATATAATATAATAAAATTTTTAAAAACCTCAGATCCACGATAAAGCATATTTCTTAAGATTTCAGTAGTCATAATAAGTACACTTGCTGTTGGATTAATTGTTACATCTCCAGTTACTAAACCTACATCTTTAAATTCTTCAAAAAATTCTCTATATTTTTGATTACTTAATGCCTTTATAGGTGTTGTATAAATTACTCTTTGCTTATCTCTTAATGAACATGCTATTGCATATCTGTAAAGTTTTGAAAATTATCTATATGATTATAATAATAAATTAATCTAATCTAAAATTTATTCAAATTTCAAATACATACTCTGCAACAACAGTTTTACCAGCTGATGTATGTGCAGAAACTAAAACAGATTGATTATTTTCAATACATAAGATTGCTTCTTTTTGGAAAGGATCTAATACAAATTTGTATTCTTTTGCTGGTTTGCTTTGTTTACTCTCTAATGGTACATATTCGTAATCTGGAGGAACTGCAACTTCATGTGTACATGATTCAATTGTTTCTATTGTATGTATTTTAATACGTGGTGCTAATTCTTCTATACTATACAAATTTAAAAAATATATATATTCAAAAATAGTTATCAAATAGTTTAAATGAAATTTTACAAAAAATTTTATAAAAAGACTTACTTTAAATCTTCCAATACAGAATCAGATCGCAATTTTTTAGAAACTAATTCATCAGAATCATTTTCAAATTCTCGTTTAGTGCCACTTTCTAAATTAGTTTTCCTATGTTATTATTTTTTATGTATTATTTCTTTTAATTAAAAATATTTCTTATATTATATTTAAAATATCAATATAATAGAGAGGTTATGGAATAGTTTATACTTACTTTTCATTAAACGATGTATTTAAATCTTCATTTCTTGGTTTCACTGGAGTTGGAATCACTTCTACTATATCTTCTGCTTCTTCAAAAACATCAAATAAATCTTCAGTAAAATTAGCCATTATAAATATAAATTTACGCGAAGTATGTACAATTTTCATCGATTCTTGGAACAAATCAAGATTGTTTATATTTATCGATATTTTATATCAACTATCGATTATATAATTATATCGAATGATAAATCGATCATCGATTAATTTTAAATTTTATATCATCTTTTTATATTAATTTTATATAATTTTATTAATTTTTTTATTTCAAATATACAAATATATATTTCAAAATCATGAATTCAAATACATATAAAAATGGATATTCGTTTCTTTCTTTTGATACATTGTATAATTGTTTTGTCTATATTTATCAATATAGACAAATAAATATTTTATTTTTTTGTGTATGACAAAATTTACCATAAAAATGCAGGTATATATCAATTGATTATGATTATTAATTTTTTATTGTCATATAAAAAAATGATATAATTTTATTTAATAAAATTTGACTAAAGAGTTTTTCAGTATACATTGTTTACTTATTTCTATTTTGAACATTTATATCTTGTTAACTCTACATGTCGTTTGATTGAATCTCAGATAAGATATAGAATAATAGATATAATATTTAATGCATTTTTTATTCTATTTTTTGTTTAAGATTTCCTTATCATTTTAGTTTCATTCTCAATATTATCCATATTAATAATAATTGAAATTGAAATTAAAATTTTAATAAAAATTGCAAATAAGAAATAGAACAAATATTTGTATAAATTATTTATACAAATTATAATTATTTATATGTTTATTTATATAAATTATTGTGAGATAGATAATTGAAATGATAGTTTCACGCTATTGTGTATATTTTTTTAATTATAAAAAACTATTTGTATTAAATAAGAAGAAACTATTAGAATCAAAAAAAATATTATTATGCATATTATTTTTAATTTGTTTTTCATTTTATCAAACTTTTATTTGTAATTTATTTTAAAATAAATGCTCATCTCGAATTGATCATAATGCGATATTAATTTATAAATTAGTATAATTATTGTAGATTATATTTTTAATTTAATTAATTAAATTTAATTTTTTTTAAATGTTTAAAAATTATAAGTTTTTCAAATATTTAAAAATCATTTATATATGAAGTAATTATAAATTAAAGAATTCAAAAATAAATAATAAAATGATTCATATTCCGTACTTTATTTGTGGTTACGCGCTAAAAATAAATATGGATAAAATATAAATAAATAATAATACAAAGATAGAGATAATAAAAATTGAGCAATTAATATTATTTGCAAAGTGCCACAAATGAAGTATAGAAAAAATAAAAAATAAAATAGAAATAGGATAAAATAAACCATGAGCACCATCTTGAATATCTCTTTAAATCAAGATAAGAATTGAAGATCAGTGCCATCTTTTAAATATTAGAAACATTTTTTCAATATTCAATATATACTAGTAATTTTTAATTTTTACCCTATTTTATCCTGTTTTTGAAGAAATGTCTTTAATATTCGAGAGATGGCATTGATAATTTATTCTTATTCTATCTCTATTTTTCTCTTATTATTTGCTATCTTTTCTACGTTTCTATATTTCATTTGCGATATTCTGCAAATAATTTTAATATTTTTAGTCTATTTCTATTCTTCTTTCGTTATTTACTCTTTTTTCTATATTTGTTGTGTAAGATTTATATACTCAAGAGGTTCCGATATTTAATTAATTTTATTATAATGATTAATAATTTTTTTATATATGTAGTGTAAAAGTGTACATATTTTTTTATACACAATATTTATACAAATTAATTCATAATTAATCCCCTATTTCATTTGTAGTTACACGCTAAAAGTAAATATAGGTAAAATATAAATAATATATAATATAATAAATATAATACATTTTTAAAATATATTTTATATATTTAATGAAATAGTATCGAAAGTTTTTGTGAATATATGATGTCATTGAATTTCTTATTAATTCATTCTTCCTCCTTCCTATAGAATAGGATGTCTCTATTTTTATATGCATTTTCTCTTATAAATCTTAGATATTTTAGATTAATTTTAATGAATTTTTAATATTAAATTACTGTTTATTATATTATTTTTATTTATTCCATTATTAATTTTATAAATATGCAAATATCGTAAATTTTATATATTTATTTTTTCCTATAAAATAAATTATTAAATATTATTTATATTATTAAATATTTATTATTCTCTTAATTAATTTAAATAAATCAAAATAGAAATGTAAATAAAATGAGTAATTAATATTTATTATGTGAATGTAATAGTAGAAAGATCATGAGATTGAAGATTTTGAATGAGTAACGTTTACGCTACGAAGAAACAGGACTTTCAGTTTCTTTTGGGAGTTTGTGAGTGGAACGTCGCGAGTGTAACGGTCACGCTAGCACGCGTGTGAAAGTTTTATCTTCCGAGCGCCCAGCCTCCTTCATACAAAGTGTATTGACATAGAAAGAAAATTGAAACAGGCTTGCTTAAAGGTACTTAAAAACATATATATAAATTTAAAAAAAAAAAAAATTTTTAAATTCAATTTATAATTATAAAAATTAAGAATTACACATTAATTTAATTATTTAAAGATATTAAATTTTAATTCTTCAATTATTTTTTTTATAAATTTTTTTTATAATCGTTTCTAGTCATGTTACTGATATTTTTCTCTTTGAATTTTTTATTTCTCACGTAATAATCAATTTTTAGATTTTTATATCTTATTTATGAAATAATAAGTAAGAGTATCAATACAAAAAAATTAATATTTAGAAATATTTATATATTATAAAGATTTTACTTTTAATAAGTATTATTATAATTTATAATGTATTATTTTTTTATTTTAATTATTAATAATAGATATTTATAGTAGATATTATATATGTTATAATATATAGTAGATATTATTTATTTATAGTATATTTATAGTATATATTATTTATTATTTATTATATAGCACTTTTGATGATTCAGCTTATAATTTTTTTAAATTGTATGCATATATTTTAAAAAAATGAATATATAAATAATAGTTTTATTTTAATTCTTTAACAAATTAATTAATTAATTAATTAAATTATAAATTATAAAATCAATGAATATGATAATAATATAATACTATGTTTTAATAACAGACGATGCTTATATATACTATAAGAACACCTGCAGTATTGTATTTGCATTGATTATATATCGTTTAATTAGTTAAGATTATATATTGTTTTAACTAGTTATTCTTCGATATTTCCAAAAGTTTAGTCGTTACTCTTATTTAGAAATTATTTTTATTTTTAATTTAAATTATTTAATTCATAAAATAAAATTCTAAAATATTTACAAATGATTTTGTATTTTAATTATTCAATTAACTCTCTTTGATTTTTTCTTTCTCTAATAAAAATTTGCAAATTTCATCTTCGATATTTTATTAAAAATATGTTACATTAATTTCACGATTTTTTTTTCTAAAAAATTTTATCTAAAATAATTAATTAATTATGACAGTATAACAATTAGATTAATTGCAATTTAAGTGTACATATAATAACAATATGAATAAAATTGACTTAGAAAACAAATATATATATATATTTAAAAAAAAAAATATTATAAAAAAAAAATATTATATGATAGTAATAATAAAAGGAAATGAATATTCAATGAAATATATATATATATATGTATACATGTTAGATTCGAAAGATGTAGAAACATGAGATAATCAATGATCCATGAATCATCGTGTTTTAGTCGAAAATTCAGAGTCTATTCAATTTTTAACTACACATCCCAAAAGATCTTTAATCATTTATTTTTATAAATCGTTAATTATTATTCTTTTATAGCCTAAATAAATCATTTTATCTTTGTTGTAATAATGTAGTAAAAATTTTGTAAATCTTTTGTAAAATGCAATAATATCAGAAATTTAAAATAATTTTAATTAATAATTTAAGAAAATATTTTCTTCAAATTATTCAAATTTTAAAATCAAACTTTAGTAAATAAAACTTCAGTAATAAATAGAAATTAATTTTTTCTACCTATGTTTTTGATTTCAATTAGCTTTTCATGAATAAATTTTTATTATTATTAATTATTAATTCTATTAATTATTAATAATATTAATTATTAAAAATAATAATTATAATTATTATTATATTAATTATTAATTTTATATTAAAAATCTAAAGATTTTCATTTCAATTATTTTCAAGATACATTATATGTTTTATATAATATTTATAATATATAAAAATAGAATACATATTCCATAATAATTATATATGCACATAAAGATTCAAAATATACATTACAAAATAGATATATTTTAATTTAAATTGAAAATAAATTATAAATATAAGTAAAATTTCCATGTAATTTATTTTATTAATTATCGTTAATTACATGTTTTGATTGAAAATATTATTAATAGTTTTTAATTATATAATAAATTATTTTTTATTTACAAAAAATATCTTATAAAATAATTTTAATATTTATTTCTTAACTTCAGTATTCTATTTATGATTTGAATAACTATATTTCAATAAAAAATAAAAAAAAAATAATTAATATCTTAGTAAGAAGGATGTTAAATCATATATTTTTCTTTGGCTATTGCATCGTATGTTCAAGGTACTTACTTCAAACGCGTATGAGTACTTATATGTAAAAACAACAAAACTCACATAATCTAATTGTTCGTTGAATATATAGATATGTTCATTATCATAAAGCAATTGTTTTTGTATTTCTTTTCGTGAAAAAAAAAATACTATACTATACTATAATATAAATACTATATTATTCTTTGACTATTTGGTCTATTTTAACGCTAAATTTTGAACATATTTATTCATTGATATGAAATATACATATATGGAAGTTATGTTTTGTATTTTGTATGTTTGATATTATATAAATTTATATTACATATTACATATTATTAACCAATATTTTCAGATTTTCATTTTATTGCAGTTATAAAACTATATGAATTAATATTAATATCTACATCATTATTTATAAATTTTTCATTAATTATCAACTTTAATATAAAATAAAATACATAATTCAATAATATATTATTTTTATATTGTATTTATTCAAAATAAAAAATAATAAATTAATTTGTATGTTCAAATATTTTCTTATTTGTAACATTATAAATAAATGTAAATTTTTTGTTTTAAAATGAAAATCACATTATTACAATACTAATTTT